CCCAATACTTAGTATTTAATCACTTCAAAGGTAGATATATTATCAATCATTCTACATTTTCATTTATGTTACCCTTTTCATAGTTGACTGAAAAGTAAATGAGACAGGCATACACATGTTGGGGGGTGTCTGCAGAGTGTATGCTAAAATTGGACTACAAAATTTTACTTTGCTACTTAGAACTTATCACTGAATGAATATCACATGTTAGTGGTTTACAATCTTGTAGTCAGCATAAACAATGTATGGTGTAAATATATTAATTCCTGTGTTCCAAAGCACCTTGTACTTTTTTCAGCTCGTGTTTTTGGAAACTCGTACTTAGTTGTTATGTCAACTATAGGTGGCGCTGTTTACAAGAACAACAGTTCCCACAGTGATAGTCGCAACCCTCTTGTACAGGGGTATACTCATTGAAGTATAGAAATATGCATCGCTGTTTCAACTTTCATTTTCACAGTCGTGCCTATCTTTGGCCATTTTTTGAGAAAAACTTCAAATAGAGCAAAAATGACCCTCAACATAAATGTTTTTTGGTTCAGTTTTCAACTTAGTGTGAAGTACTCCCACCCAAAATACTGGTGAATACCCTGGCCACCCTGGAGTAAAGTGCCCTGCAGATTTTTGATATCAGATGACAACCTTTAAAAATCCACATTTTATGGCAATATTCATGTTTGATATACATTTCTGTAGTGTGTTAAATTCTAATGCTATGTGGTCGGACACTATGTAGAAATTACCTATTTGTGACGTGTCATTGAAATGGCTTATGTTTTTCAAGATCTTAGGTATAAATATGGGTCCTATTCCATATCGACGTCACAGTCTTGAATCCCAAGTCCTCAAATACAAAGTAGCAGATGGACACATGATCCACGGTTTTTGATGGTCTGAGGAAAGGAAAAAGATGAAAGATGATTTCACATTTGGCAAATTAAATCAAGTAACAAAGTGTTATCTTGTCTGTATTTGGTATAAACATAGGTTTAACAAATTATCTATATGGGTATGGATTTTGTCAAAACATCCGTATATGTGGTAGCCCCGGGATATGTGGGCGTCATTCTACAGCAAATAAGCTTGGATATAAAAACTTTTTTACTACTTTATTTATTTTAAGGATGTGACAATGCATTCTAGTTGAGCTAGATAAAGATAATGCCAGCAATAAAATACCACGAACAAACAAATGAATCATGCACTGTCAAGTTAGCAAGCTACACCCCCCCCCCCCAAATCACTGAACCACCCAACACCGTTCTGTACACCAGCAATATGTTCGCAGATATTATACATATTCGCATTATAGCATTCATAATAGAGAAAATAACAAAATATAAAATGAAGTAGAGCATCATGGGTATTCTCTTGTTAACTGTGCACAAACTACAAAATTACGAGTGACTTAGCCATTTTGAAATAACCTTCCATCAACCATTCAACATAAACTTCTACAATTTATAAAAAAATCCAAATGATGCCAAGATAATAATATGTAATATGTAATATGTAAATATGTAATATTTGTCTTTGGAGTGCTTAAATGATATACCGTATCTGTTTATTGTATCTTATCACTGGGTGCACTTAAAGTACAGCTTATTTGTAAACAGACAGTGAATACATATAAACAGTTATGTTTGTCAATGGAATACCTTCTGATTGGTATGTTTACAATAGATGCGACTGTAGAAGAAATCTGTAAACATTTACACCATTGCGTGTAAAATAATTATTTTAACGGCTACAGTATCTCTGGGCAACAAGTTTCACAATTATTGTCAGACTTCTAAAACAGATCGTTGAGTTTAGTCTCCAATGCAGATTGTGTGTATTGCCAATATGCAATCCACTCCTACACCCTCATTGTTACGATGTATTAGACTTTTAAAAATTTCAAAAAAATTCATCGTGAATTGTCCAAGTAGCAAAGAGGGGGGGGCAAGGGGGTAGCTGGTACAGTTTTACGGGAAATAAAAAGGGCTTTTTACAATTTACAAGAAAAAAAGACGTTTTTACAGTTTACAGTGAAAATAGAATTTTGCAGTGAATTGTGTCATCTAGATGTTTTACAGTTTCGAAAATGTAATTTCCCTGGGTTATTCTTTACGACTTTTTTTATTTCGATGTAATTTCTTGTACGTACCGAGAAAAATTACACATTTTTACAGTGTACGAAAAAAATATTTTGATTGCGTTGTACGTCTAGCCTGTGATTACAGAATTTATTTTTTCAATTAATGTTGTACGAAAAAAAAATATTGCAATTACGTTGAACGAAAATAAATATGATTATATATTAAATCCAAAGTTTAGTATTTATTTAAAGCGCGGTGGTCGTCGCGCAGCGCGTGTTCGAATTCATGTAAATAAACAATGTATTTTACACGCGTTGTATACGTCGCTATGAGTCCCATATCGAACAGGACGCGGCGCGACGACTGCCACCCTTTAAATGCCATAGTTGACAGTATCATACGATGGAGCGCTCCCTGGTCATACTTAAAACACTGTTCATAATTCGCTCAAATATTTGAAATGACGCGGGTGGCTGTAAGAGTGTGACTAGAACATTTTTTCACGTTGTCTTATCTGTACATTTTTATATTTCTTGAATGTGCCAAAATTTTCTTCCTGCAACACCTTGCGTACATTTTTGTACATGCTGTTTAGCTTGCAATTTTGTTTCAACCAATTCTTTAGCTACCCCCATATTTTCAAATGGTCGAACCATACTACACCTTTCATCAATTCAGGCCCTCTAGCGTCGTGTAGAATGGTCGAACCATACCACGTGGAACCATACAACGCCTTTCATCAATTCAGACCCTTTAGCGTCGTGTACAATAGAGCATTAATATTATTTGCGAATAACCACAGCAATACTGTTAGAATTCGGATTGGGTAATAATGTGGCAAGTTGTGATTGTTCGGTCGGTTTATTCATAGCAAAGCTTACAATCATAAAAAAATGAAACAAGTGGATTTCGGTTGCAGACGAATTTGAGTTATTTTTGGACGTTAATTATATAAAAAACGAGTCGTAGCATTTATTAGAAGTTTACATTTTATCATCAAAGTGTTTCACATAGTCATACAGGTCGGTTTCTTTTTATTTTACAAGATCGACATCAGCGGACGTGTTTGGAAACAGTCTCTTTATATTAAGCCAATCAAGTAAGGCTTATACCACAGCACAAGGTTCAGTACTCGGTCCACCATTGTTTTTCTGGTTGTGCCTTAGACATGTACGCTAATGACACCATTTCTACTTCATGTATTTCTAAACAAATTATTGAGGCCCAGCTTACTATGCAACGTATTAGTTTATTTGTCGTAACGGCATGCTTGAAACAACAGATAAAACAAATGTTATGGTAAAAAAAAGTCTGAATCAGGCGTCTATAATAAAGACATGATTGCATAATGTGACGAACCGGAAACGTGTCATTTAATAACTATTATTTGTCTACAAATCTTTGGACGGGTTGACCCCGAAATATGCGTAAAATTGTTAAACTCTGTACGAAAGTACTTATCAACAACGAAAACCTCATTTGGCAAATGTGGGCCCGTGGTTATCAAATCAGCTATATGTTCGCGTGTAAAAGGGGGTATTTACGCTAAATATATAATTGGATTATCTAAAGCGATCAAAAAATATGTTATTTGTAATACTGGTATCGATTAAATTTCTGTGCACCGTTTTTGAAATAGTTTTGAAAACAGCGATACTAAATTTTAGTTTTATCTGGTGGCATGACACTTCATCATTCCCCGTGTTATAGTCATAATAGTTTATAACAAAAATAATTTTTGTGACATAATTATGATGATTTTCATGAATCAATAATTTGTGATTGTTGGCAACTTCGCACATTTTGTGTCTCTTTCCTAAAAAAAAATAGAAATGAAACTGTCATCCTTTATATGTCACGTGATGAGGTGATCCACGATCTGTGTCGATTTCTAACCAACAATTAGCTATATACAAAAGTTACAATTCATATGAGACCCTTTCTCATAATGAAGAATATTTTGTACATCAGCCATTTTTGTTGACCTGGGCACAGTCCCCGAGGGATAGTGACCTGGGAAAAATTTAAAAAAAAAAGAAAGAAAGTAAGTCAGCTGACCTAATTAGCATAAATAGTCTAATCAAGATTACATAATAGACCACAGATTCATTGTTCTGCCATAATCCCTCTGTTGGACTGTGGTTCTGCGAAAAAAATGACTATTCCGATAATACAAATTTGGAGAACGACACATTTTGCATTAAAATTGGAATATGTACGATATTCACTCGCACTGGTCTACTAAAATTAAAATATATACGTATTGGTAGAAATAATTATGCAAAATGTACAATTTATTTTCTTGAAAAGATATTACCCACAGGGACTGTAATTTGCATGAAGACGAGGGTTGTAAACATATAAGATAAACAGAAATTAAATAAGATCGCCGATAAAATAAATAGAGATGATGGTATAAACAGGACAAATTTAATTAAATACCGGTACACACAATTGTTCTTTTGAGAACTGTTTAATTTATTGAGTTTGGACTACTTCGGACCCCTGGAAGAAGATGCCTGGAGAACTACCGTACATACATGTGTATTTTAGAAGTTGAAATTTTCGCAAAATACGTACTCATTATCATATTTAACAAACCAGTTAACATACACTTCTGCATAATGCGTATATTTTTTGCTCAGTGAACTAGAGCGTGTGAATACTACACGCTTATTACTATTATAATAAATATTATAGTTTGGTCGAATATAAGTAGTTTTAAGTAGTCACGCCCAGGGTTATTATGACTCTTGATCATGACGAGCTCTGTTATTGGACGCCCTCTGACGACATCGAAGCGAAATGCTCGTGGTGACGTAGTAGTGTATATATACACATAACACACAAAACATGAAAGGTACGATCACTTAGCGATGAAACCGTGCGTCCTTCTGCTCTATACCAGTTCAGTTGGCCATGTGGAAAGTATGTTATCTAGTAGTTTTTCTACTGGTTGTTACAGTGGTGCTGGCTATCCAACCCCTGTTTGCAATGAGATTGCCGGTGAAAGCACGAGAAAATGGCGATGAACGTGCCCAACAGTTTCGAGAGCATGCGATGTTCGCTGACCTACCGAAAGTAAAATACGATCAACGTATGAATGCAGATCTTCTGGAGGAATCATACAAATGGCAAGAAAACAAGAGAGCTGCGATCCTGTGTCCAAGTGGATCCTTTATTGGGGAAATAGGATTTGCTTTCTCTGGAATTAAGAAGTACTTTGGGAATTCCATGCAGCATTTCAAACTAAACGATCTTCCGGTAATAGCGACGAGCAATGAACGCGAAATCGTCTTGAAGAGGCGCTCAACTGACAAACAATCTAAAGGTTTCTGGAACTTGAACTCAGATCCCGGAGACTACCTTTCAACTTGCGATCCCGTCCTCTTCTGCCTTGGGCACCAGGCGTGCCTTTTCAAAATCACCATCGACACCTGTGCCAACGACCCGATGCCAGGTCAGAGAAAACTGCTCGAGCTAAGAGTGAGTTGCGTGAAAGACGAAATGTTTGCGAAATACATGCGTTTTAACACCGGCAACGCAAACACCGACTTTGACATTACGGAGAGCGTTCGAAAAAGGCGAGACCAAGTTTTATATATCTATGTCAACGATGATAACACTGACGATCAGGCTGTGTCGTTAGTGCAAGTGTATATTCCCGAGGAAGACATTTTCGGATTGACGTGCCCTGAAGACGCTTACAAGGCTGGGTAAGTTTCTTTTATCGAGTAAACATAGAGAATTATGGGTGGTATTAAAGTGCAGGTGTCAACAACGTTTTGCACGTCGATGTTTTACAGTAAATATAACGAAAGAAACTAGCTGCAACTTAATAAAATTACCCTAAATATGATTTATGATAATTTCCTGACATTATTACCACCATTAGAAATATAATGTTCAGGAAATAACAATTAAACACAATTAATAAATAGTAATATAATATAATATTAGTATAACATAGCGTTATCATGTGTGAAATCTAAA